TTGATCAACACTATTCTGACAGAGGCTCATAGTTCAAGGTATTCTATACATCTTGGTGCAAACAAGATATATCGTGACCTAAAGCAACACTTTTGGTGGAGTAGAATGAAGAGTGATATTTGTTGATTTTATTGCCAAATGTCCAAACTATCAACAAGTAAAGTATGAACACCAGAGGCCCGGAGGAACACTTTAGAGAATGCCCATTCCTGAATGGAAGTGGGAAAGGATTGCAATGGACTTCGTAGTTGGCCTTCCCAAGACAATGGGTAAGTATGACTCCATTTGGGTAATTGTTGATAGATTGACTAAGTCTGCTCATTTCATTCTGGTCAAGGTGACTTACAATACAGAGAAGTTAGCCTAACTTTACATTTCGGAAGTTGTTCGGTTGCATGGGGTTCCACTCTCCATCATATCAGATAGAGGTACGCAGTTTACTTCTAAGTTTTGGAAAACATTGCATACGGAATTGTTTACTAAGTTTGACCTTAGTACTGCGTTCCATCCTCAGACCGATGGTCAGTATGAGAGAACGATTCAAGTGTTGGAGGATATGTTTCGTGCGTGTGTGATAGAATTTGGTTGTCATTGTTATAGCTTCTTACCCTTAGCAGAGTTCTCCTACAACAATAGCTATCACTCCAGTATTGATATGGCTCCATTCGAAGCATTGTATGGGAGGAGATGTAGGTCTCTCATTGGTTGGTTTGATGCATTTGAGGTTAGACCTAGGGGTACTGACCTTTTGAGGGATTCATTAGAGAGGGTGAAATCTATTCAAGAAAAGCTTTTAGCGGCTCAAAGCAGGCAAAAGGAATATGAAGATCGAAAGGTTAGAGACTTGGAGTTTATGGAGGGTGAGCAAGTTTTGCTGAAAGTTTCGCCCATGAAAGGGGTGGTGCGGTTTGGTAAGCGAGGTAAACTTAGCCCGAGGTATATTGGTCCATTTAAATTTCTGAAGCGCATAAGGGAGGTGGCTTATGAGTTAGCCTTGCCTCCACGGCTGTCTGGAGTACATCCGGTATTTCATGTGTCTATGTTGAAAAGATATTATGGGGATGGAAACGACATCACTCGTTGGGATTCAGTTCTGCTTGATGAAAATTTGTCTTATGAGGAGGAACCTGTTGCTATTCTAGATAGAGAAGTTCGCAATTTGAGTTCAAGGGAGATTGCATCCATCAAACTTCAATGGAAGAATGGACCCGTTGAAGAAGCCACTTGGGAGAAAGAGGCTGACATGCAAGAAAGATACCCACACCTGTTTACAGATTCAGTTACTTCTTTTCTCCCTTGTTTCCTTCTTATGATCGTTCGAGGACGAACGATGGGTAAATTTGTATCTATTGTAACGACCTGTTTAGTCGTTTTGAGCAACAGATTTTATTTCTGGAAAAACTGTCAAAGTCGACGGATCCCACGACGAACCGTCATGGGCACGACGGACCGTCGTGGGGGTCTCGTTCCAAAACACTTAGAATTCTGAAATTTGGGTACTGAAATTGTCTCTCTGAACTTCGTGACGACATGGCAGGACGGACCGTCACAGGCGTGACGGACCGTCACAGACTCTTCAGAGAATTTAGTCTCTCAACTCTGTGACGGAGCAGCAGGACGGACCATCGCAAGAACGACGGGCCGTCACAAGCTGTGTAATCCCAGGCTGGGTCGGATTTCTGTAATTATTTTAAGGGGCATTTTGGACTATTCCGGCTTATAATTATAAAGTTAGTGGTTTAATATTAATAACTCAATTACTTGAGGTCTAAAAGAGGTAACCTTGAGTTAATTAGTGGGTTAATTCATCATTCTTTTATAATTAGTTATATTCTAATTAGGGTAAAGGAAAGAGGGTTTGAATAAGAAAAATAGAAAGAACAAGAAGAGAGAGAGAGAGGATCGATCGAGACAAGAGGGAAACGAAGAGAAAACAAAGCCTTGAGAAAATTGCTTGCTTGATCACGAATCTTCGGTGGAGGTAGGTTATGGTTTTTATACTATTCGTAGTAAACTCTTAATAGTGAATGATATGTATGGTTAGTATTGTAAACCCTTCTATATGCTTAATTGTATGCTTGCATGAATGTGATTATGTAATTGTGATAAAATAAGCATGAGGAAGCTATTGAATCCTAAATTCTGAGAAACCCTAATCTACTTTGTTAATGATGATGCCTTAGTGTAAAATAAGGCTTGATGAACGAAAGTAGTGAGATTAGGGGATCGGGTGCCACGTTCCGGTACCAGGATAGTATATGAGGATCGGAGTGTCACGTTCCGACACCTGGATAGAATATGGATCGGATGCCACGTTCCGGTACCAGGATAGTATATGAGGATCGGAGTGTCACGTTCCGACAGCAGGATAGTATATGGATCGGGTGCCACGTTCCGGTACCAGGATAGAATATGGATCGGGTGTCACTTTTCAACACCAGGATAGAATGAGGATCGGAGTGTCACGTTCTGACACCAGGATAGTATATGAGGAGCGGAGTGTCACGTACCGACACGAGAGGAATAAAGATAATGAATCTTGAAAGATGTTAATATACTCAATCTAATGAACCTAATTCCCAAATGAGTATGATGAGGAGGCGTGAGTCCTCATTGCTATGCTTGGTGTTGTAACCAAGGGTTATGGTAATTGTAAATGCTGCATGCTAAGGATGTTAGTTGATTTTATGATGTTATCTGATATATACTGTTTTCTATTTTGAGTTGGCCGATGATACCTACTCAGTACTTGTGTTTTTTACTGACCCCTACTTGTGTTTGTTTTCTTTGTAAATTGTGGAGTGCAGCAAACGTACCGTCGTCTTCAACTCAACCGCAACTCTAGCCAGTCTTCATTACTCCGGATATCAGGGTGAGCTAATGCTTCTAGCTTTGACTGGATCCTCCTCTTCATGTCTTGATGCCTTGAAGTTCCGGCATGGACTAGCTGTTTATGTATTTTAGCTTCTTAGATATTCTTAGATTTAGTAATTTGAAGTAGATGTTCTTGTGATGATGAATTCCAGATTTTTGGGATAATAATAGTTGTTGAGTTTTTAGAAGTTATTGAATTGGTTTTTATTAATGAGTTTAAGTCTTCTGCATTACTTTCTGTTGATATTATATTGAAATGTTAAGGTTTAGATTGGTTGGTTCGCTCACATAGGAGGGTAAGTGTGGGTTCGAGTCGTGACCTGATTTGGGTCGTGACATATAATTTTTATATTAAATATTTTGAAGGTTATGAATATGAAAAGTTAGGAGTTATATTATTGAATTATTGGTTAGGTGTTATATATATTATTAAAAGGTTAGGAGGTGTCATGCTCATTAAGAAACTTATTAATAGCAATTTATATATATACATAATATTATTGTGTAAAAAATATATCTAAAAAGCCCTATTTTTTTAATAAAAAAATATAGATATTTTTCTCATCATTGAGGCATGCCATATAGGCAGATTGAAGATCCTCATTTACATATATGCTAGGCAGTGATGGCCTGTGTAAGCACGGGCCCAACAAAAATTTTTGCGAGTTAAATTGCGCACGTACATATCTATGGACTATGAATGACTTTTATGGGCTAAATTTTTGCGAGTTGATTGCGCAAGAAAACTTTATATAAATGGTTGCCAATCATTTCTTTGTAGTTGTGGCTGCATTTACATAGGATGTTTACATTCTATACTATTTACATACTACTACATTTTAGTTTCTTTTGAGTGTTAGTACCTAGAAAATGTACCTGCAGAAGAGGAAAAATGATTTTAAATTTAAAGTGGAATATTTTTTTATGCAACTAAGTGCGTGCATTTATTTTCCACTCCTTATGAACTGTAGTACTACCTAAACAATTCAGTGGAATGTTAGCCCAAGTTTGCAACATGAGTTGGCCACAAGCTAGTAATAAACATCACCTGAGAGGCAACATACTAAATTTTTTTCTTGTTTTCCGTATATATTATATGTGGATGGTGGCACAAGATTCACTTAAAGCAATTATAAGTTTTTGATCAATAGATGAATCGTTCAGCATGATAATTCATAATCTGATAAAAAAATACTTCTTCATAAATAAATAACAAAGAAGCATGTGTTGTCTAGAGATAGATGAAGATAAGATGTCATAATTATCACATCTGATATTCCACTCCTACATGATTTATTTTATATGTATCGTTAATCATGACCATCAACTATCTTCAATGTCCTGTCTATTTGTTGAATTTGCCATATATAAACAACCACTAATTATGTTTATTGTAGTAATGATACTATTTCCAATCAATATAGTATATGAATATGAACATCAGAAGTTCTTTACTATCCAAGCATAAACACAAGAGTAAAAACAAATGTACTACTTCCTTGGTTTCTAAAACCAACAAAGCTGCAGAACATAATTGGCTTAACTATTATATAAAATAAATCAATGATGAAAGATGTAAATTGACATTGCCTTGGCTTAATCTTTTGAATCTAATTCATTCTCTCACAATTATCTTTCTAACAGTCAAATTTTTAATTCCTAACCAAGAAAAAGAAAAGCATGTAATGACAAAAAGTAAAACTTGGAATGGAAAAGGTTAATAATGCTTACTTGAAATTTTGAGATAGTAATCCAGAAAAAAACATCATCATTCACAAAATAAAGAACAAACTAATCACTAAATACCATAAGACATTAAAATGAAAAGTAACAAAAATTCTTCATACTGACGAGAAATTAGCAACACATATGCATACCATTATTGTACAGCAACAACAAATACAGTAAAGAGGAAGAATAACTATACATATGCCATGTGACTTCGTATCAGTATTGAAAAAGTCAAATAATTTTCTATGGATATAAGAGATAAGAATAAAATAAAAAATAATCATCACAATTACACATTTTTTCAAAATATTTTCATTTAGATTTGCACATTTACTATTAATTGTGCTCCTAAAAGTTGAAGTAGTTTGCTCCTAATAACTATGAACAAATTGAAGTCAATCAATATAGGAGCATATCCAATTAATCATTAGCAAAATAACAACACAAAAAGCACAAGCAGTAGATGTTGAAACACCTGATTCACATTTATTCCATTTCAAATCATCTACTGATTGATCAGAGTGAAGAAGATTGAAGAAAATGTGGTGAATGAAAGCTTAAATAATTATCAGGCCTGATAAAAATTTTATGTCGCAACTCATCATGCTGGAGATGGAGGCATGATCATCTGCTAAAAAGGTCTCTCTTTGTTGTATTTATACGGTGTTTCTAATCTTCATTCTCTGCATCACTATATCTATGGTAGATTGACAGCCATATTTTCCTTCAACAAAGCTAGAATTTCTTTCAAATTCAGTGAAGTGAAATAATCTGCTACAAGTTGTAAAACATCTATCAAAAGAGAAAAGTTAAAATTAATAAAAAAAAATATCAACTATTTTAGGCATATTATCAAACACCTAAAACGTTCATCAAACTCTATTAGCAGTAATTGCATACCTTAATTAAACAAAAAAGAAAGAAAAAGTCGTAATAAGGCACACACCTGATATAACTTACAACTCAAATTGAGATAAAGGGAAAAAATATTATGCCCAAAAACTCAATAATTAATCCAATAGTGTCTTTTAAGAGGAAGCGTCGGCTAATGTTCTCACACTGCTAGAGAAATTTCTAAAGATCTTTTTTTCCTTTCTTGATGTACATCTAGCAATGAGAATGAGGCAAAAAGTTGAAATTAATGCATATAGAATCTAGCTAGTTAAAAGCATTCAAGTAAAGGAAAAAATTAAACAATAGAAACCACTTCGACCCCAAACAGTTACCAACTCAAAAAGAGACAGAGCAAATGAAAGATGATAATGAAAAAGAAGAGTTAAAAATGTCTATGGAAGACAACTAATTTGATCGGTGGCATTAAAGAAATCTCCAAACATACTCATCCGCTAAATGAAATAAAATCACCTTGCTATAACTTTTAATGCAAAAGAACATACCCGAAACCAATTGCAGGAAAACAATATGAGTTCCACAATTATAAAATTTATAGGCTTAAAAGGATCTGCTAAATTGCTAGCACTTACAGTGAAATTAAAAAGAAATAATATATGAATCACAATGAGTAAACTTAAATTGTTGTTAAACCTGTGAAAGAAGAATCAAGAAAATGGAGAAACACAAAAAAAAATTGGTGAACAACTAAAACAAAGATATAAAGACGGCGAGGAAGAATAAGAAACAAGTGCAAATCACCAACACAGATTTAAAAATTATATATAAAAAAATATTAATCAGTTTTCTTAGGCAAATAATCAAACATCTAGGGTGCATAATTTTGCATTTGTTGGAATAACATATAAACAAAAGAAAAAAATAATCAAAGTAAATTAAAAAAAAGCACGTGCATGTCGTTACCCCATCCAAAATCATCTATTGGTAGTATCTCCAAAAACTAAGAAAACCCAGATGAACATGTTACCATGAAAAAGGCCTCAGCTTCTCCAACTGCAATTCCTAATTTCTTCAGTGTTAGTACCTAGAAATGTACCTTCAGTGTTAGTACCTAGAAAATGTACCTGCTGAATCCAACGACGATCTCTCATTCAACTTCTCCCTCACTATTCTCTTCGCGAATTCACGTACTTCTCCAACTGCAATTCCTAATTTCTTCTTAGAACCAATACCAAATGCGCGTTTAATTTTCCAAATCAACGGAAAAGGGACAGCAAATCTCTCACTGCTCAATCTAACACAATATTCAAATGCTACCGCGAATTCTGTTCAGGCAGGTTAGGTAACAAATACTTTGGATCATATCCAAATGCAATTTTACAAATGTTATCAAATGCAAACCTTTGCAACACGTTGATAAACAGAGAAATTGGTTTTTAGAATGTGTTGAAGCTTAGATGGATTAGCAGTGATAATTGTGTGGAAATTGAGGGGTCGAATTAGAGTAAAAGTAAGTTTAGGGCGTGATATTCAGAAAGAATTTAAACACCCATTAAGATTTACCAAATAAACCAAAGCAACAAAGAATCAACATCATCATCACTATTTCCCCTAAAAACTAAACCAACCCAAATCCCAAAAAGACCACAACTTTAACACCAAACCCAAATAAAATCACAAACCCACATGCCAAAAGGCTTTATTCAACAAATTATTGATCACCCACAAAAAAATTCAACAATCCCACAACATAAACCCCAGAAAAATGGCCAAAAGAGAAAATAAAAAGACAAAGGGGAAAGTACCTCATAGATGATGAAAAGTTGATTAAAGTTGAGAAAATCACAAACTGTCGAAAGAACACTGCACAGAGAAGAAAAAGTGAGATTGTGGGAGCAGAAAGCATAAGAAGAAGAAGAAATTAAAAAAAATGTTTCTTAGAAGCAGAGAAATAGCTTTCTTCTACTCTTGAACTTCCTTCTCTCCCGGCGGGACACTAGTTAAGCGAGAGAGAAATGGCACGAAACCCCACCAATTACACAACATAAAGTCACACGCGGTGGAGAGAGAGAGAGCATGAATTGATTGTAGAAAGAATGATAACACGTGCTCTGCACACATTTTGATACGTGTCTTTTTCTCTTCAACTTAAGAGACACATAGCATAAATATTTGACTCCAAAGTATGAATTTCCCTTGATCACATAGCATAAATATTTGACTCAAAAGTCTGAATTGCCCTTGATATCAATTTAATTGACATTAACCAGACATGTTGAACATGCCTTTTCTAATATAAGAGTAATATATTGATTGGAGATAGTCTTTTAACTAATTTAACCGTGTTTTATTGTGGTGTGATGTCTTTTTTATAAGTAAAATATAACTTGGAGAGTTACTACTTCTACAATATCAATAACGGGCCCACACATAACATTTACCACAAAGACGATATTAGTGATGTTCTTAACTAATAAGTAGAAGCTCAAATATTTTTAGAGTTCATATAGTAAGTGATTGTTTAGGTTTTTATTTTTTTTAAACAATAAGCAATTTTCATTAGCAAAGCATGTAATATTAGTTATTAATCTTAACTACACGCATGCTTCTAATTGATTGAATTATACAATATTCATTTTCTTTTAATTATAATACATTATTAATGATTTATTGTATGTTGAAAGATATTATTCATTAAACAAATATAAAACATATGACACTATTCAATATATTACTTGAGTACAAATATTAATTGGCCTAGTATAAAAGCTAATGATTAAAATGTTGTCACATTCTCATGGAGAAACACATATTATACCTTATTAGCATAAAAATTAGAAATTATGACAAAAATAAGTCTAAATCATTGCCAACTCTATTATGTCCTTTTCATCATGACCTTTGTTGAAGAAGATGCTGGTGTAATCTGCATAAAGGATTTGTTTGTAAATTGGTTTCTCCCTATTCCGTAGCACTTTTTTTAAAGGACCAATAACACGTGTTGTATTTGGATGCAAGAAAATGGGTACAGAAACCCTATTGTTGCTCCCGTTAGCAATCACACAATGTTCAACACTCTTGTACTTGTCATTTCTCATTATTTGAAGTGTATCACCAATATTGATTACTAGAGCCCCCTTAACCAGAGGGATATGAATCCAAACATTAGTCTCGTATTTTTTCACATCGAGCCCACCGATATAATCTTGAAGGAGAAGAGTGATTGTTGAGACATCAAAATGACGTCCTACTCCAATTGAACGCTCTGAATTAGGACATTTTGGATAGTAATCGAAGTTTATTCTCTTTTGTAACGACCTGTTTAGTCGTTTTGAGCAGCAGACTTTATTTCTGGAAATACTGGCAGAAGCGACGGACCCCACGATGAACCGTCATGGGCACGACGGACCGTCGCAGGGTCTCGTTTCAAAACACTTAGAAAATCTGAAATTGGGTACTGAAAATTGACTCTCTGAACTTCGTGACGGAATAGCAGGACGGACCGTCACAGGCGTGACGGACCGTCATAGATTGTTCAGTGGAAATTGACTCTCTGACCCTTGCGACGACCTGCAGGACCAGACCGTCGCACGCACGACGGCCCGTCACAGTTTGCATAATCCCAGTTGGAGTCAGATTTCTGGTTAAGTTTTAAGGGACGTTTTTGACTATTCTTGCCTTAATTATAAAGTTCATGGGTTTATATTAATAACTCAAATTCTTGGGGTTAAAAGAGGTAACCATAAGTTGATTAGTGGGGTATTATTACCATCTTTTATTCTTAATTATATACTAATTAGGATAAAAGAAAGAGGGTTGGAATAAGAAAATAGAAAGAACAAGAAGGGAGAGAGAGAAACGATCGAGATGAAGAGGAAAACACCAAGCTTTGAGGATTAACTTGCTTGATTTCAATTCTTCGGTGGAGGTAGGTTATGGTTTTCATGCTTTCATAAGTAAACTCTTAATAGTGAATGATATGTATTGGTAGTATTGTAAACCCTACTATATGCTTAATGGTATGTTTGCATGAATATGATTATGTGATTGTGATAAGATAAGCATGATGAAAATATTGAATCCCAAATCTTGAAAAGAAACTTTAATATACATTATTAATGATGATGCCTTGGTATAGAAGAAGGCTTGATGAATTAAAGTAATGGGATTGATGATGCCTTGGAATAGAGAAGGCTTGAGGATTTACAGAATGATATTAGTGGATCAGAGTGTCACGTTCCGACACATAGAATTAGGGGATCGGAGTGTCACGTACCGACACATGTAGGGGATCGGAGTGTCACGTTCCGACACATGTAGGGGATCGGAGTGTCACGTTCCGAAACATGTAGGGGATCGGAGTGTCACGTTCCGACACATAGAATTAGGGGATCGGAGTGTCACGTTCCGACACATAGAATTAGGGGATCGGAGTGTCACGTACCCACACATAGCAGTAGGGGATCGGAGTTTCACGTACCGACACAAGAGGAAGAAAGATAATGAATATTGAAAGATGATAATATACTTAACTTAATAAACTTAATTCCCAAATGAGTATGGTGTTGAGGCTTGAGCCCTCATGGATGAACTTGATGGTACTTATTGATGATTATAGTACTTGTTGTTTCTACATGTTGAGTTTTATAGTTGATTTACGATAATATTTGATATATACTGTTCCCTATTTTGAGGTTGCCGATGATATCTACTCAGTACCCGTGTTTCGTACTGACCCCTACTTTTATGTTTTTCTTCTTGTTATTTGTGGAGTGCAGCAAACGTGTGGTCATCTTCGACTCAACAGTAACTCAAGCCAGTCTTCGTCACACCGGATCTTCAGGGTGAGCTAACGCTTCTAGCTTGGACTGGATCTTCTCCTTCATGTCTTGATGCCTTGAACTTCCGGCATGGACTAGCTTCTTATGTATTTTGAGCTTTTTAGATACTCTTAGTTTAGTAATTTAAAGGTAGATGTTCTTGTGATGATGACTTCCTGATCTTGGGAATAATAATAGTTATTGATTTTATTAATAAGTTTAAGTCTTCCGCATTACTTTCTGTTGATATTATATTGAAATGTTAAGGTTAGATTTGGTTGGTTTGCTCACATAGGAGGGTAAGTATGGGTAGCAGTTGCGGCCCGGATTTGGGTCGTGACAAACTTGGTATCAGAGCATTAGGTTCGTTGGTCTCATCACATAAGAACAGGTCTAGTAGAGTCTTAAGGAACGGTAGGGGGACGCCTTTACTTTTCCTTGAGAGGCTATAAGACTTTAGGAAAATTTCACTCTTTCATTCTTTCTTTCGTGCTACTACTTGAGTCCAATTGGTATCTAGGCGATACGAATTGGTATCTGACCATCTTCACTCTCTTTCGCAGATGGTTAGAACTAGAGCAACGACAACGCCAACACCAACACCAGCACCGGCAGGACAGTGCGTCTGAGCCAGCCACTGGGGCTGTAGCTCGAGGAAGAGCAGCGGCAAGAAGCCGTGGTAGAGGTCGTGGGAGGACGTCCTCTAGGGGAAGAGGACGAACACCGAGCCCATCTGGTACTAGGGCGGTGACTCCTCCACCGACTGAGGAAGTAGTAAGAGAGGGGGAGGATGGGGTGAATGAGCAAGTACAGAATGAGGAAATGCCACCCCAACCTACCCCAGAGATGATCAATCAGGTTCTGGCTTATCTTAGCGGGTTATCTTATCAGGGCAAGACACCCCCAGTGTTTTCTGCACCAGCACCTCAGTCTCCGGAGGTACAACATGCGGCTACTATGGCTCCCCGCATGGATGTTCCATTGGAAATAGGCACGTTTCCACGTCTGACTACTGGGCCTATAATGACAAATGATCAGCATGAACTTTTCAGTAAGTTCTTGAAATTGAAACCTCCAGTCTTCAAGGGTGCGGAATCTGAGGATGCTTACGATTTTCTGGTTGACTGTCATGAGCTACTACACAAGATGGGTATAGTAGAACGGTTTGGTGTTGAGTTCGTGACTTATCAGTTTCAAGGGAACGCCAAAATGTGGTGGCGGTCACATATTGAGTGTCAACCAACAGAGGCACCACCTATGACTTGGGCCTCATTCTCTAGCTTGTTTATGGAGAAGTATATCCCCCGAACTTTGAGGGATAGGAAAAGGGATGAGTTCTTGAGCCTAGAGCAAGGTAGGATGTCGGTCAATGCATATGAGGCTAAGTTTCAAGCATTATCCCGGTATGCCACCCAACTGTGTTTCAGTCCACAAGAGCGAATTCGCCGGTTTGTGAAGGGGTTGAGGTCAGAATTGCGGATTTTGGCCTTACAGATAGCGGCAACGGCAAAATCCTTTCAAGAGGTGGTAGACTTTGTGATAGAAGTGGAAGGAGTGAAGCCAGACGACTTCACTACGACATCGACATCAAAAAGTTTTCGAAAGGGAGGTGAGTTTAATGGTGCTTACACTAGAGGACAGGGTTCGGGAAGTTACTCAGTCTGACCAATTCAGTCTTCACTACAGACTGTAGTTGGGGGACCACCTCAGACCGGTCAACACTTCTCCGTGGGGCCTATGCTTGACTCCAGAGAATGTTATGGATGTGGGGAGATTGGACATATTAGGAAAAATTGTCCCAGACAAAGTTATAGACCCCCAATAGCTAGAGGTAGAGGTGGTCATGGTAGAGGCCGTTATTCTGGAGGACGTGGTGGTCGAGGTAATGGTGGTCACCAAAACGGCAGAGGTAATGAGCAAACTGGGAGCCACTACATCACAACATGGTAGGGGCAACGGACAGACGAACGATAGGGCCCATTGTTATGCTTTCCCTGGGCGGTCTGAAGCAGAGGCATCTGATGCTGTCATCGCAGGTAATCTTTTGGTTTGTGACTGCATAGCTTCTGTATTATTTGATCCCGGATCCACATTTTCTTATGTATCTTCCGCATCTGCTAATGGTCTTAATTTACATTGTGAATTGCTTGACATACCTATTCGTCTTTCTACTCTGGTGGGTGAGTCTGTGATAGTTGAAAAGGTGTATAGGTCTTGTCTTGTAACTTTTGTGGGGAGCAATACTTATGTAGACTTGGTTATCTTAGAAATGGTTGATTTTGATGTAATTCTGGGTTTGACTTGGCTTTCTCCACAATTTGCGATCTTGGATTGTAATGCTAAAACGTTGACGTTAGCCAAGCCTGGGGCAGATCCGTTAGTTTGGGAAGGTTACTACACATCCAATCCGGTTCGTATCATCTCCTTTCTTCGTGCTAAGAAAATGATTAGTAAAGGGTGTTTAGCTTTCTTGGCACATCTCAAGGATGACACTACCCAAGTACCTTCGATTGAGTCGTTTTCAGTGGTCCGTGAGTTTCTGGATGTGTTCCCTGCAGATCTTCTGGGTATGCCACCAGATAGGGATATTGACTTCTGTATCAATCTCGAACCGGGCACACGCCCCATTTCTATACCCCCTTATAGAATGGCTCCCGCAGATTTAAGAGAGTTAAAGGCACAACTTCAAGAGTTATTGAACAAAGGCTTTATTAGACCAAGTGCATCTCCTTGGGGTGCTCCGGTTTTGTTTGAAAAGAAGAAGGATGGGAGTTTTCGAATGTGTATAGACTACAGACAACTAAACAAGGTAACCATAAAGAACAAGTATCCTCTTCCCCGCATTGATGACTTGTTCGATCAGTTACAAGGTGCTTGTGTCTTCTCTAAGATTGACTTGAGATCCGGTTATCACCAGTTGAAAATACGGGCAACGGATGTGCCAAAGACTGCTTTTCGAACGAGGTATGGACATTACGAAATTGTAGTGATGTCTTTAGGTCTTACGAATGCCCCTGCTGCGTTCATGAGCTTGATGAACGGGATTTTTAAGCCATATTTGGACCTCTTCGTGATCGTATTTATTGATAATATACTGGTATACTCAAAGAGCAAGAAGGAACATGAAGAGCATTTGAGAATGGTATTGGAAAGGTTGAGGGAGAAAAAGCTTTATGCCAAGTTCTCTAAGTGTGAGTTTTGGCTAGATGCAGTGTCCTTCTTGGGACACGTGGTTTCTAAGGATGGAGTGATGGTGGATCCTTCTAAGATTGAGACAGTGAAGAATTGGGTAAGACCTACTAATGTGTCAGAAATAAGGAGCTTTGTTGGGTTAGCTAGCTACTACCGCCAATTTGTCAAGGGATTCTCTTCTATTGCTTCCCAATTGACGAACTTGACTAAGTAGAATGTTCCATTTGTATGGTCGGACAAATGTGAGGAAAGCTTTCAGAAGCTCAAGACTTTGTTGACTACCGCACCTATCCTTACCTTGCCATTAGAGGGTAAGAACTTCATTGTTTATTGTGATGCATCCTATTCTGGTTTGGGTGCAGTACTAATGCAAGAGAAGAGTTGGATTGCTTATGCTTCAAGACAATTAAAAGTGCATGAACATTATCCCACTCATGATTTGGAATTGGCCGCGGTAGTGTTTGCATTAAAGCAATGGAGACACTATTTATATGGGGTTAAGTGTGAGATCTATACGGATCATCGTAGCCTTTAGTATGTCTTTACTCAGAAAGATTTGAACTTAAGATAGAGGAGATGGATGGAGTTAATAAAGGACTACGATATCACTATCTTGTATCATCCGGGGAAGGCGAATGTTGTAGCGGATGCTTTAAGTAGAAAGGCGGGAAGCTTGGGAAGTCTAGCACACTTGCAAGCTTCTAGACGCCCATTGGCTAGAGAGGTTCAGACTCTAGCTAATGACTTGATGAGATTAGAAGTAAATGAGAAGGGAGGATTGTTGGCTTCTGTGGAGGCAAGATCTTCCTTTCTTGACAAGATTAAGGGAAGACAGTTCGATGATAAGAAACTGCGCAGAATCCAAGATAAGGTATTGTGAGGAGAGGCTAAGGAAGCACAAATCAATGAGGAAGGTGTTTTGAGGATCAAGGGAAGGGTATGTGTACCCCGCGTTGATGATTTGATCAACACTATTCTGATAGAGGCTCATAGTTCGAGGTATTCGATACATCCGGGTGCAACCAAGATGTATCGTGACCTAAAGCAACACTTTTGGTGGAGTAGAATGAAGCGTGACATTGTGGATTTTATTGCCAAATGTCCAAACTGTCAACAAGTAAAGTATGAACACCAAAGGCCCGGAGGAACACTTCAGAGAATGCCCATTCCAGAATGGAAGTGAGAAAGAATTGCAATGGATTTTGTGGTTGGTCTTCCGAAGACAATGGGTAAGTATGACTCCATTTGGGTGATTGTTGATAGGTTAACTAAATCTACTCATTTCATTCCGGTCAAGGTGACTTACAATACAGAAAAGTTAGCCAAACTTTACATCTCGGAAGTAGTGCGATTGCATGGGGTTCTACTATCCCATATATCAGATAGAGGTACGCAGTTTACTTCTAAGTTTTGGAAAACATTGCATGCGGAATTGGGTACTAGGTTGGACCTTTGTACTGCGTTCCATCCTCAGACCGATGGTCAGTCTGAGAGAACGATTCAAGTGTTGGAAGATATGCTTCGTGTATGTGTGATAGAGTTTGGTGGCCATTGGGATAGCTTCTTACCCTTAGCGGAGTTTTCATACAATAATAGCTATCACTCAAGCATTGATATGGCTCCATTTGAAGCATTGTATGGTAGGAGATATAGGTCTCCCATTGGTTGGTTTGATGCATTTGAGGTTAGGCCTTGGGGTACCGACCTTTTGAGGGATTCGATAGAGAAAGTGAAGTCTATTCAAGAAAAGCTTCTAGCGGCGCAAAGTAGACAAAAAGAATATGCAGATCGAAAGGTCAGAGACTTAGAGTTCATGGAGAGTGAACAAGTCTTGTTGAAAGTTTCACCAATGAAAGGGGTGATGCGGTTTGGTAAAAGGAGTAAACTAAGTCCAAGGTACATTGGACCATTTGAAGTACTTAAGCGAGTAGGAGAGGTGGCTTATGAGTTAGCCTTGCCCCCAGGGCTGTCCGGAGTGCATCCGGTATTCCATGTGTCTATGTTGAAAAGATATCATGGGGATGGAAATTACATTATCCGTTGGGATTCAGTTTTGCTTGATGAGAACTTGTCAAATGAGGAGGAGCCTGTTGCTATTTTAGATAGAGAAGTTCGCAAGTTGAGGTCAAGAGAGATTGCATCCATCAAGGTGCAATGCAAGAATCGACCGGTTGAAGAAGCCACTTGGGAGAAGGAGGCAGATATGCAAGAAAGATACCCACATCTGTTTAAAGATTCAGGTACTCCTTCTCGCCCTTGCTTTTCTTCTTGTGATCGTTCGGGGACGAACGATGGGTAAATTGGTATCTATTGTAACGACCTGTTTAGTCGTTTTGAGTAGCAGACTTTATTTCTGGAAAAACTGGCAGTAGCGATGAACCCCACGACGGACCGTCATGGGCACGACGGACCGTCGCAAGGTCTCGTTTCAAAACACTTAGAAAATCTGAAATTGGATACTGAAAATCGACTCTCTGAACTTCGTGATGGAATGACAGGACGGACCGTCACAGGCATGACGGACCGTCATAGATTGTTCAGTGGAAATTGACTCTGTGACCCTTGCGACGACCTGCAGGACGGACCGTCGTAGGCACGACGGCCCGTCACAGTTTGCATAATCGCAGTTGGAGTCGGATTTCTGGTTATGTTTTAAGGGACGTTTTTGACTATTCTTGCCTTAATTAAAAAGTTCGTGGGTTTATATTAATAACTTAAATTCTTGGGGGTTAAAAGAGGTAACCCTAAGTTAATTAGTGGGGTATTATTGCCATCTTTTATTCTTAATTATATACTAATTAGGATAAAAGAAAGAGGGTTGGAATAAGAAAATAGAAAGAACAAGAAGGGAGAGAGAGAAACGATCGAGAAGAAGAGGAAAACACCAAGCTTTGAGGATTAACTTGCTTGATTTCAATTCTTCGGTGGAGGTAGGTTATGGTTTTCATGCTTTCATAAGTAAACTCTTAATAGTGAATGATATGTATTGGTAGTATTGTAAACCCTACTATATGCTTAATGGTATGTTTGCATGAATATGATTATGTGATTGTGATAAGATAAGCATGATGAAAATATTGAATCCCAAATCTTGAAAAGAAACTTTAATATATATTATTAATGATGATGCCTTGGTATAGAAGAAGGCTTGATGAATTAAAGTAATGGGATTGATGATGCCTTGGAATAGAGAAGGCTTGAGGATTTACAGAATGATATTACTGGATCGGAGTGTCACGTTCCGACACATAGAATTAGGGGATCGGATGTCACGTACCGAGACATGTAGGGGATCGGAGTGTCACGTTCCGACACATGTAGGGGATCGGAGTGTCACGTTCCGACACATGTAAGGGATCAGAGTGTCACGTTCCGACACATAGAATTAGGGGATCGGAGTGTCACGTTCTGACACATAGAATTAGGGGATCGGAGTGTCACGTACCGACACATAGTAGTAGGGGATCGGAGTGTCACGTACCGACACAAGAGGAAGAAAGATAATGAATCTTGAAAGATGATAATATACTTAACTTAATAAACTTAATTCCCAAATGAGTATGGTGTTGAGGCTTGAGCCCTCATGGATGAACTTGATGGTACTTATTGATGATTATAGTACTTGTTGTTGCTACATGTTGAGTTTTATAGTTGATTTACGATAATATTTGATATATACTGTTCCCTATTTTGAGTTGGCCGATGATATCTACCTCAGTACCTGTTTCGTACTGACCCCTACTTTTATGTTTTTCTTCTTGTTATTTGTGGAGTGCAGCAAACGTGCCGTCATCTTCGACTCAATAGTAACTCAAGGCAGTCTTCGTCACACTTGATCTTCAGGGTGAGCTAACGCTTCTAACTTGGACTGGATCTTCTCCTTCATGTCTTGATGCCTTGAACTTCCGGCATGGACTAGCTTCTTATGTATTTTTAGCTTTTTAGATACTCTTAGTTTAGTAATTTAAAGGTAGATGTTCTTGTGATGATGACTTCCAGATCTTGGGAATAATAATAGTTATTGATTTTATTAATGAGTTTAAGTCTTCGGCATTACTTTCTGTTGATATTATATTGAAATGTTAAGGTTAGATTTGGTTGGTTCGCTCACATAGGAGGGTTAGTGTGGGTGCCAGTCGCAGTCCGGATTTGGGTTGTGACATCTTTAAACCCATCAGAAGTTCCTCTTTTTCTTCATCAATATCTCTTACATTCAATACTCCCATTAGCAACTTCAAAATATTCCTTATTATCGTATCACAACTCTTCAAGTACTTAAGTGCTTCTTCCCTTAAAAGAAAAACATTCGTTTTGTGTGAGAGATAAAAATAAATAGTGTGGATAAAATTTTAGTGCCTTGTTTAGCTGCTATATTTTGGACAACTTATCCCACTATTCATGTCATAGTGATAGGATAAGTTATCCCACATAATGGTGAGATAAGTTATTACCAAGAAAGGTTATCCAAAAATTACTAATCATAGACTAACTTGTTTCCAACCAAAAGACTAATGTGAGTCTTTCATAATTTCTTTTTATGATGTTACTACATATTTATACTCATTTCAAACAAAGAAAGAATGTAAAGGAAAGCAAACCTGCAAGAAGAAGGCCAAAATGAAGTAGCTTCATCATCAGAAATATAAACAAGAGAATGATAATCTCTCCAGCCCAATGTCCTCTCAGCTTCAGGAGTAAAGCTTGTTCCATACCTCACATTACTTGAAATTGAATTCTCTTTTGTATACTTCTTTTTTTCATTAGTTGGTAAATTGAAGAAACGATGGGTCGACTCTTTTATATTGTCAAGAACTTCAATAGGAACTCCGTGATTGATAACTTGATACAAGCCCCAATTTTGTGCTGCTTCGCGAATTTGATAACCCACCTTTGGATCATCCCAATTGGATGCTTCAATTATTGGGATTGAATCATCGGTTCTTACAATGCTCGTAGTGATTCGTTCTTCGAGTGGTTGAATGTATTGCTTGGGAAGTGCTTTAATTCCTATATCACATAGGCCTTTAACTTCATATCCTTTATTCACAACAAAATCAAACACTTCCTCAGAGTTTGAATGAATTTTGGACAAAGGTGCAATCATTATTATGGGAAGAAAAGGAGATGAATGAAAGTTTGCAATTGAGTTACAACTTATAGGGGCTTTAAATCAAATATTAAACAGTAAAATATTCCAAATTGGTTAATTTTAGAAAATTGTAGTATTTTAATCACTTATGGAATCACAGACTTCCGTTTCATTTATTTTCTAAACACGTTGCTAGAAAATTTAAAAAAAAAGCACACATAATTTTTGACTCTTCTTTAATGAGTTGCCGTTTTTTGATGATTTAGATACCATCTAGAGTGTGTTGGTATGAAGTAATATATTTTCTAGAAAATATTTTACAATTTTCTCATGTTTGGTTGAGACAAAAGTTTTGGAAAAGGTTCTCCATATCAGCACCAACTAGCCCCTCTCCCCAACCCTACGCCTTCCCAAAAAAATAATTTTACTTTTTAAAAATATTTTCAACTTCAAACTTTTATTGTTAAACTCCTAACCCCACTCCCCCTCCCCCCCAGCCAGCCCCCTACCCATAATAGAATGAGCCTTAGATTAGGTCATAATATAACTTCATTAACCTGCTATCCTTGGCTCCTTCATTCTATATCCTTGATGGTTATGGTTGAGATTTCGAGCTTCGCTTGGTAACATATGATTGGATCTGGTTTGTGCTTGGAATGTGGTTTTGATTAATTTTGTGATTCTTATATGTAGTTCTTTAATCATACTCAATATCCTTTACATAGTTGATACTTATCAGCTTGATCTTATTGGTTACTTTTGGAAGCCTATCAACAGTTCAAGGTACGAGCTACACACTCTTTTGTCTTTAATGATTTCATTAGCTCTTTGGGAGGCTATATGTGGTCCAAGGTCTGGGTTACACCCTCTCAATCTCATGAATTAACATGTTCTACCCTTAGTAGTTATAACTATGTTAAGTACACGTCGTGCTTATGAGGGTCCTTCACATTGTTATGCAAACTTGTGCACGATTGTACCTTCTAGGCTACGAGGTCATTAGGTTTTAGTTTGCTATTTACTTCCATCATTTCAGTTTTTACCACACTTGTGTCCATTGTTTGACCTCTGTTGTGTTTAATTCTTGCCTTTCATATTTCCTTTACTTATCTAGCTTAATCGACCAATGATGCGGATTGAGTACATATTGTTTTTTACTCATTATACGCTCTACATTTGTTTCATGATGCGGGTCTGAGCACCAATTATCAAGGTCGAGTTTGAGCCGGTATCCAGATTATTCGGAGGTGAGGATATGAATATGACATTATGGATCATACCTATATCCATATGTATTAGTTGGCTAGTCTTTTGTATTTTGAGACAAGTAAATTTATCTAGGGTGCACTTTTGAGACTTGTACTCTTTTTTTAGTAGCTTTTGTAATCGTAATTTCCATGTTATGGGATGGATCTATATATATATGTGTGTGTGTGTGTGTGTGTATGTATATAATTCAATTATTTTTCTAGTTAAGAATGTTGCATTCCTTATTCTTGCTTAGTTTCTAAGCTTATACCCAATACTTGGTATTCCAAGATATGGATTGACTTACTTACTGGTGGATTATAGTTGATTACTTCATGATGTGAGAAAATAGGTCATGAAAAGTCGGTATCAGAGCCCGTAGTTCACTAGTTTCACATATAAAGAGTTAATGCCTCATAGATTTTTTGCAGATCGATGTGCAGACTTTGTATCATGTCTTCGGGAAGGTATATGGCGTCATTAGGAAGATTTTCTCTTTTTATTGATTTTATGCAGTGTTTGTATTGTTGATTTAATGGAATATCTTTTGTTTCGTTCCTTCACAAGTTGGATCACATGCACCATTAAGCGATCGGGGATGATCTATTCGAGCAGAGATAAAGCCCAGCTGGGGTAGTTGAAAACCTTGAAGTCATGTTTGAGATACATTACTAATCCATAATAGACAAAAGACTCCGGAGCTAGTGGCGAAGCCTTAGATAACTCATATTCTTCCTCAATTAATGGGGTCGAGGTTAGCCTAGCCACCACATAAATTGTTATGGTTCGAGAGCTTCAGGGGACCATTACTTAATTACTCAGAGTATCAGAAGGTTGTAGCAGACCCTAATTCCTGTTGCATTAGCACCAAAGGGTCAACCTTCCGCAACATATCCATAGGTTGAGGTTCTACCAACACCCATTGTTGTCCCATCAGTTATTGCGACCGAAACTATGTAGGCAAAGAAGCGGCAATATGCTTAGAGTATTCTTGGGATCATAAACTCTATGTTTTATAGGGTGATCGAGGAGGATGTCCACGAGTTCCTTACTACTTGTGATGAGAGATTATATACATTAGGACTGGTAAAGTTGAGAGGAGCTGGTTTCACCGCTTATTATCTTGATGGGCCAGAAAGAATGTGGTTGGGTTCTTAGTTGGAGAGTAGACATGTTGGATCACCTTTGATTTCATGGACAAAAGTTTTATGTGACCTTTATAGCCAGGTTTACTTTGTGGATCTTCAAAGGTAAACTCTAGGATCAGTTTTGGAGGTTGGAGTAGGGGTCCGTAGAATACATAATTCCTAGTAAATGAGCATAACTTTTAGCACAAAACTGAAATTGACAAATGGTTGAATGCAAAGAAGGCTTCACGACCTTTCATCTCGTTGGTATTAGGCCATATTAACTCTTTATACAGTAGGAGTCCCTTATGAACCTTGTTCAAATGCAATTTACACACGATTTTCACATATGGAGAATGGTTCATACCTTTACATAAAAGTTTTGAGGTATTACAATACCCCCATGAATTTTTCTCCTAGAATGAAGTCTAATTAAGGTGGAAAGACTAGGGAAAGAGATATAACATAGAATTTAAAACTGTATACTGAAATCTTTCAGAGTGACTGGCTCTAAGCTGTTGTATTAATACTGTACATATTTCATGAACATGAAAGCATTATTCTAATACATGAGAGATAACAAAAAGACATGAAGCAAACTGAATGCTATGGAAAAATTATTACCTTACGCTGGAACTGTAGTGGAAGGAAATAAGTAAGGGTACTTTGCCATTATATCTGTCCCTGCTTTCCATGAAGCTCCCTCAACTAACTGATTTCTCTAAAGAACTTTCATCGAGGTGACTTCATTATATCTCAACTTACGAACTTGTCGACCAAGAATTTCTACTAGAACCTCTTTGTAAAAGAGATTGTCTTTAACACCCACATTCTCTAAAGGTACAACTAAAGTCGGATCACCAATGCACTTCTTCAATAAGGACACATGAAATACTGGATCAGCAACTTTGCAAGTAAATCTAGCTCATAGGCTGCTTTACCAAAGCCTTCCTTTCTTGCCAAACCTCATCGCTCCTTTCATAGGAGAAATTTTTAGATATACTCAATCATCAATACCAAACTCAAGCTCTCTTCTCCTCACACCTACATACAATTTATGTCTACTCTGAGCCGTTCTTTATCTTTCTTTAATAAATTGAACTTTCTCCATAGTATGATGAACTAATTCAAGCTCTATCAAGGCCACTTCACAAATATTGAACCACCCGATGGGAGACCTACACTTCCTACAATTGAACACCTCAAATGGAGCCATCTGAATGCTAGAATGGTAATTCTTATTATAGGGAAATTCAACTTAAGGTAAATAATCAACCTATTTTCTTTCAAAGTCCATTACACATGTTGTTAACTCCCAATTTTACCCTTTACGATATGAATTAATTTTCAAACTTCTTTAATTTCAAACAATTTTGAATAATTAGTTTTAATAAAGAAAATCAAAATATTTTTTTCACTCAACGTGATTTAGCCATTTTTATAAATTTCAAACAATTAAATGCTTCATATAATTATATATCATGGTTAGTATATTCTATAAAGATTCGAAAATCATCTTAAAATATTTTACATTTTTAATTAAATACTTTATTAATATTGTCTTGTTTAAATTATGATTATAATTTTGAGTGAACTAATTCATATTTAAGCTAATTATTTCATTTCATTAGGACTATGAATAATAAACTCATTAATAATTATTTATATTAATTCGTCCTATTTAATTATTAATTAAATTTACTAATTTAATCAATTTGACTCACTTCTTAAATTCAACCCATTTGGCCAAATTGAATTCGAATCCTAGCCCATTATTATAAGTCTATAGAATTTTTTTATAAATTAATAAATTATTAATTTAAATTAAGTATTATAACCATAGTTTTATTACCCATAGAAAACTATTGTCGTTCGCCTCTCTCAAAGAAATTCTCACTCGCCACCCTTGTTTTCTCGGTGGCAATGTCTCCCCCGCCTATGTCACATTTATACAAATATAAAGGTATAAAATAATTTTGTGTTTATATAAAACGAGAGAAAATTGTATATACAAATAAAAAAATATATATGTATTCGTCCTATACACTTATAATTATACAAATACAGATCTTCCTCGGTCTAATTTTCTTTTGTCTTTCTATCTTTATCGCTTTATACAAACACATATTATACAAACAATTCTTTTATAAATATATACCAAAACAAATTTTGCAATTGATCTTTTTTATATGTGTAACAAAATATGTATATTAATAGTCATAGCAAACATAAAGTTTGTTATAGAGCGTAATTATACAAACTATAGTTATAGCATACAAATATGATTATTATATTTGCTAAACCTAAAATCATATATATATATATATATATATATATATATATAAAGTAAAATCCTAGAGCCTCCTAAGAGGCTCCACAAAAAATTAAGAATTCCTTTTATTTTATTATATCTCCCATGAAATAAAATCCTTACAATGTGGCACACTCTTCCGTACATTAGAATTACTATTTAATTGCTTCTTAACTTGATTTTTAGGCTTAAGTCATATGCGGCCCCTTAAAGTTGTCCGCATATTTCATTTAGACACCTTAAATTAAGATTGTACCTATTTAACACTTTAATCTTAACAAATATATACCAATTAGACATGAAATGACAATTAATTGAAAGACATAAAA